GGGGGGGGGGTAATGGGGATCAAACTTAGGACCCTGCGCTTGTGAGGCAGGCAGCAGAACCACTGAGCTAAATCCCCAGCTCAAGACACTATAAATTGTTCCATACCAATAGGTGAGACAGGGATAAATAATAGTGCATCTTAAAATGAACAACATTATAATTTGATTAAATATAATCAGAAACTCATATATGCTTTTTAAAAGTATTAACCTGAAGACAGCAAGAATTTATGTAGTTGACATGAATGTAAACAATCAGACTATTTATTATATTCACTATGTCCTAAATTACTGTCGAAAAATAAAGTTTTCAAAATGTGATTACTATAGAGGAAATCCTCAGAATACTTTCCTACGGCTATCCAATCTCCAGACTGAAAAATTTAAATAGATAAAGGAACACAATTAACTAATTATAAATGTAAGTGAAATAAGAAGGTTGACATCTTTGACATTAGAAAAGGAAAACAAGTGTGGTGCTATGGTCTGCATGCTTCTGTCCTCCCAAAATTCACAAGTTAAACCCTAATCACCAAGGTGATATTAGAAGGTAGCCCTTTGGGAAACGATCAAGCCCTCTGAGAATGACATGAATGCCCTTATAAAAGGGTCTGAAAGAGTTGTCTTCTCCTTTGCTCTGGGAAGACACACAGAAGGCACTGTCTCTGAGGGGCAGGCCCCTACCAATATCAAACCTGCTGGCACCGTGATCTTGGACTTCTAGCCACCATTCATTTCTGTTGGTTATAAATTACCCCATGTAATGTGTTTTATTATAGCAGCCTAAACAGATTAAGACAAATCATTAGTAATCTTGATTTATGGGTCACGTTTCAATGACAAGGTTTTTAATTTCAATTAAACTCACGTTGCCACAGATATTCCTACAACTTAAAATATAAGAGAGAATGCTAAACTGTAGGCTATTTTTAAAAGATAATAGTCACCTCGCCCATCGTCAGAGTGTAAGTCCCAAGACACTCCATGAACACCTGAAATCAAGCTCTATGTATACTGTAATTTTTTCCTATACTTACCTATGATAAAGTTTAATTTATAAATTATACACTGTAAGAGATTAGCAACTAAAAATAGAATAATTATAACGATACAATGTGATATAATTTAATTATAACTTACTATTCACTTGTGGAATTTTCCATTTAATATTTTCCATAAGCAATTGACTGTGGGTAAGTGAAACAGCAGGAAGAAAAACCATGGATAAAAGAGGATTAAAATATTTTAAAAGTAAAATTAATTCTGAAGCCAAAACAAAATGGGACATTGTACTCATCCTTAATATTAAATTCTTCTATGGGGGGATTCATGTTTAATGACAAAGCATTAGACAACCTTGGCCTAGTCTAGCAGAGTGACCTACAGAAAGCACTTATTTTTTAACCTCAATTCCTTGATTCTGATCTGTCCAACAGCTACTACTGGCATTCCAAAAGATCTAAAAGGAACACAGGAACTTCACCAAACTAATATTAATGCCAAATATTAGCATCTAATGAAAGCCACCACACATTGAACACTTTCTGCATGATAAGTGTGTGTTGACCAAATCCTATCAACAATTCTATAGAAGGCAGTTTATTATATTAGAGAGGGTCCAGCCACCTCTGAAAACCTCCATCTATGACCACATAAGGCTTTGGGGGCACATCTAGACACAAGCTATAACAACAGGCATGCACCACTAATGCCCTATTTTCTTCTATTTTTGACTCCTTTTATGTAAAAGTGATTTTTTTAAATTAACAGTTTTGATACTCAAAAAGTTCTTGGATTCATTTTTGTTTACCTTATGATCATCTTTCTTTTCACATCTTGTTTGCTATTTCACGTTTACTCTCCATCTAACTTCTTAAGTCACTTTCATTGCTTACCCTGTTCTTTAAGGTTTTATTTGCTTCACTGGTCATGTTGATAAAACTTTTACAAACATCTTCAACTCTCAAATTCTGATTCTCCTCGTATTTTAAAAACTGCATTAATTTAAACATTAATTCCATGATTTTTCTAATTCAAACAACTGTGTCAATATGCAGATGGATATGAGAAGGCATGAAGATATTCTGACCACTTATTAATTTCTCCCTATGAACAAACTTCACTTATCTGTCTCTTTTCATGCTGATTTACAAGAGCCAGACCTCTCCTGCTTATTGAACTCTCCTTTTATTCACTGAACATGCATGGTTGTTTCCAAATTGGACTATTATCCAGAAAATCAGAGACATTTCAATATCTGTTGAGTGAATGAACAACTAAATAGAAGAATCAAGAGCATACAGCAATTGTTCAATAAATATGTTTTCTATGTAGAAAAATAACCACATTTTAACAACTCAAAGTGGATTTTCTCAAACCTTTGTAATATCAGTAATCTATTTTCTGTTGGATTTCTGCAGATCTTCAGTTACTCCTGATGTTTCCTGATGCATAATAAAAACCATTCAAATTACTTAAAGCCATTCACTATGCCTAACACAACCACCATAATAAAGCAGGTGCTAAAAACATGAATTGATTCCAGCAAATAATTATATAACAGCTAACAGAATCAAGTAAACACTGTGGTTATATCACCTAAGGAGACTATATTCAGAAATTATTTTCATGACATGGTTCAAATGAAGATGTGTGTGTGTGATGCTGGGATTAAGGATGTGATGCTGGGATTGATTCAATGCTAGGATTAAGGGTACCCCACCCTGGGTGTGAGTGCTATCCACCTTAAGGGTGGGTAGCCTGGATAGAATATAAGAGACAGAAAAGAGGGCTGTTGTTGTTGTTTGTCCCTTGCTGGTTCTTCCCTACTTTGCTGTTTTGTTGCCTTCTCCCCACCATGAGGTGTGTCTCTTCTGTGATGCCCCTCTGTTGCGCTTCCCTGCCTTGGAGTCATCCAACTATGGAATGAAACCTCTAGAAACTGTGAGCTAAATAAACCTTTCCTCCTTTAACTTTGGGTGTTGGGTATTTTGTCTCAGCAACAAGGAAAGTAACTAAGACATCTGTAATCCCAGCGCTCTAGGAAGCGGAGGCAAAAGGATCTCAAATTTGAGGTCAGCCTCGTCAATTTAGCAACTTACCAAGACCTTGTCTCAAAATTTAAAAAATTAAATTTAAAAAGGGCTGCAGATGTGGCTCAGTGTCAGGATCTAGGTTCCATCTCTAGTACCACACACACAAGGAAAAAAAAAAGAAAAAAAGATGGTACTACAATGTAAACTTTACTTTGAGAAGAAGAAAGCTGGATACAAATGGCAAGACTTAGGTACATAGACATGCTGTACGTAAAATGAACAATCATAAAGGATATGTGTACAACTGACTCTTTAGACCCTCAAAGCATTTTTATGGACTTAAATAATCATTGTTCCTTGAGTGCAACCACTTACGAAATATAAAAAAGATTTGTATTTTTATACCACAATGAATGAATACTTAAAACTTTTGGGCTCAGAATTAGTACAGCAACCTTAGTACAAGTGTTAGGAGAGGAAAATTCATGGCAACACCAGATGTCACAAAATAGCAGTCTAGGCTAACAGGACAATAACCTACTTGCCCTACCAAGAGAACCTAGTATAAAGTGGGCCAGAAAAATGCATGATCAAATAGAAAAATAAACCACAGTATTGTCAGATGCTGAAATAACAGCATCAATCAACTATCTGAGTTAGAAAAAGCTAATGGTTTCTTACTGTTATATCTTAAAAATATTTCAAATAACATTTATTTGGCAAATTATGAGACATCTATGATTTAGGAGTAACTCAATTTCTCACACTATGAAAGTGACTCCAACACTAAGAACTTCTAGGGGGAAAAAATTCTTTAAAATGCAACCAAATCACCTGTAAAACATCTATCTGAATATTACAGGCCAGTTGTACTGCATTTTTCTAAGTGTATTGGGGCAAGGGAATGGTGATTGAGTCTACTCTATATTTTTACAAAGTGAGTTGTCAAGTATAACCAGGTTCATTGCATTAAGACAACCCACTACGAAATTATCAGATCTCTTCCAGGATTCTCGATAAGAAAGAAAACCAGGAGTAAAAAAAGTATGTAAACCTAACACACCAGAAGTGACACTGGTGTGACCACAAATGAGAGCTACCATTTCATTTTGTGTACTACAAATTAAAGCCACTACTGCAGATGGCCAAAGGAGATTAAGAAAGGACTAACTTAACCAACAGTTGGAAGCAAATTACACTTGTTAAGCAGCTACACTCATTAATAAACCCAGAGAACCTTTGAAAAGACAGCTTGGTGCGTTAATTTAAGGGCAGATAAGGAACCTTTCAGTCGCCTTCCTTCGCCGATTTCTGCGCCAAGCCCTTTCCAAACTGAGGATAAGGTAGATCCAGGAAGCCAAGCAGCTCCTGCGGGAAATGGTATCCCTGAGCAGCCCAGAGCGCCAGTGACGCACCAGGAGCTTGGAAAATCTCCCTCCTTTCCCTCCGAAGGAGCAGCCAGGTGGGAAGATGTCGTCCACGTGCACTATTGGTTTCCACGTATGTTTATTATTTTTAACTTAAGCTTTGATATCAGTCCCCTCAGCCGAACGGGGAGGGGCAACGGCAATGCCGCCGTGGCCTCTGCGCGCAACACAACTTTCAATAATAAAAACACTACCTTTTCTTGTTCACAACCCACCTGGCGCCCTCACCTTTCCTCCTCCGCAGCCGCCGCGGGTCCCCATGACAACCCCGCCTCCCGAGCCGCCCGCCGCGGTCGCTAGAGCCCGGTCGCCTCCCCCGGCAGGACCCTGGGCGCGGCACGGCGCGGCCCCCTCGAGTGGGCGCGACCTCCGGCCACCTCCTCGGCAGGTGAGGCGGACGAAGATCCGACTCGAGCCCAAGACCGGAAGCGCGGCCCGGGGCAACTGTGGCGGGCCTGGGACTCGCCTGTGGGCGCCGAGACTCCGCGGCCCAGGCTCACCTTGAACGGGTTGTTGAGATCCGGGTCCGCAAACGGATTACTGTCAAAATCCGACATCTCTGTGGCGCTCGGCGTCACCCGGACCCAGGCAGGGAGAGCCAGACAAGGTGAGGCCGCCGCCCCCCTGCGCGCTCACGTCGTCGTCGTCGTCGTCGCCCCCACCGCGCAGCTCTCCGCGCCGCTGGGGCCGCTCCACCGGCCGTGCACTGCGCATGCCCGGCCCGCAGCCTCTCGCGTCGCCGTCCAGTCCTCGCCAGATCCAGCGCGCCAGTCTTTGGCTGCGACCGCGTCGGCGCAGGGCGGAGGGAGCCAGGGTCGCCCTAGGTTCGCTCGCAGGGATTAGAGGCTGGCTGGTTTCGGGGTTCTGGCACCAGGCGGAACCCGCGGACGGACCGGACCAGGCGGCGCCACTCGAGGAGAGCAGGGCGAACCCGAAGCCAGCAGAGAAGGAGCCCAGGACGCACCTCGCTGGAGGGCTGTGCACCTGGCTTCGGCACCTCCCACGGGATCCGGACAATACGACCCGGGGCACCGGGATCCCGCGCCCCGACCCACCCGGAGACCCGGCCCCCGCTCTCCCAGCCCTCCAACTCTTGATCGCGACTAAATCCCGGAGAACTGGCCGCAAGGAGGTTTGGGAAAGAGGTGCGATCCAGCCCCTGCTCCCATCCTCTGGTGCATGGAGAAGAGACGGCGGCAGTCCCGAGATCGGGAGCCTCAGGGTATGGGGACCCCAAAAGATGCCCCCTTTGTTTACTTCCAGTAATTTGAGTGCGAAATACACACATACACACCCTTCCTAGTTTTTGCCTACTCTCTTCTCAACACCAGGAATGAGATTATAAACAAATAAGGAATTCGTGTGCATCCTTCCTTGAGCGACCCCTGAACTTGACAGCATCGCTTTCCCCGCTTTTATCTTCTGGCACCCTAACACGAAAGCACTTAAAATTAATTAGACGAAGTATGAAGACCCAATATTATTTTGTCTTGGTGGGTGCCTAAGAATTGGAAGAATCTAACCAGGTATGGTAGTGCACACCTGTAATCCCAGCACTGGGGAGGCTGAGGCAGGAGGATCATGTCGAGTTTGAGGCCAACCTAGACTACATAGTTCAATCAAGCCTGACCCACATGGCAAGACACTGCTGCAAAAAAATTGGAAGAATCAAGATGTAAACTTCCTTGGCCTTTTGGGAGGCTTGCAGTATGCAAAGTCACCTAGGAAATGATACTTTCTTGGAAGTGTGAAAACAAGCTAGAGATGATAGAGGAAAAATAAACATGTGCTGTCATCTGCCTTTGATGGGATCCAGGTTGGCGTGACAAAGCAGCTGCTTCTGGACAGCTGACTAAACATGTTAACTACTAAGTGACAACAGACGATCCTGACAGAGCTGTAACAGTCTAAATATTTAATTTAAAAAATGCATCCCCTTGTGCTCACCATCAGCAAGTGCCTGGTGCCTGGTTCCTTACTGCATTCTCAAAATATGTTGGGTTCAAATCCTAATTCTGATGGTTACTGCTTTGTGGTACTCGCATCACCTCTCAATCTAAATAGTTATTTAAGAATAAAATTAGAGCTGGGGATTTAGCTCAGTGGTGCTGCCGCCTGCCTCAAAAGCACAAGGTCCTGAGTTCAACCCCCAAAACAAAAAAAAAAAGAACAAAATGAGATAGGGCCGGGGATTTAGTTCACTGGCGCCGTGGCCTCGAAAGCACAAAGTCCTAATTTCCATCCCTGGTACCAAAAAAAAAAATAATAATAAATTTTTTTTAAGAATGAAATAAGATAATATGTAGAAACATACCAGGCATGTATCTAGAGCCAACAGACACTGGCTGGATGTCTTTGACTCCTCCTTCCTGAGTTTGACCTTACCCAGCTGGTCCTCTTCTCTCACCACCTCACTCCTGTAGGGACAGATTAGAGAGACACTAACAAAACAAAACAAAAAAAAGCCCAGGGCAAAACACAGAGAACTAACATTGTAAAATCATCACATGCTTATCTGTGGCTGATGATTGTAACGCTTATCTATGGCTGACAATTGTAAGATCATCACATGGTTATCCTGTACCATGTGCTTGAAAAAATGTACCCTACTGTATGTATTCTTTATGAAAGTGTTACATTTACTTTTTTTTAGCGGGGGGGGGGGGGACTTGAGACAGGGTCTCGCTTTGTAGTTCAGGCTGGCTCTGAACTCACTATGTAACTCAAGCTAGGCTCAAACTTGAAGCAATCCTCCTGCCTCTGCTGACCTTGTCCCCTTCCCAAAAACAAGGGCTAAGATGCTGATTGGCCTAGCCCACACCAATCAACAAAACAGTTTGCCCTATAAGTATGGGCACATCTCATACTCACAGGGCATTCTTGCAGCATCACTCTGCTACTAAGATAGCTTCTCCTCCTGCTTTCTTTGCATTTGCCAAACTTTAAATAATTTTTTGCTTTGGACCATACCAGTCTTGACTCCCCCATTTTTCACTAAGAGCCCCATTTCTCCATTCTTTGCCAGAGTGAGGGCAAGGACCAGAAGAGAGGCAGAGAGTCACTCAGAGACACCCCCACCTGACACAACACTTCCACTTGTCTTCCAACAGATCCAAGTAATCAGTAGCTATTTATTATGCATATACTATGTTCCAAGACAATAAGGATCAGCTGAGCCAGCATTGCAAGGTAGAAATTTCCAGTTGTGCTTTGTGTATGGCTAATGATGTTAGCACCTAATGCAAAGGTTTAAAATAAGACTTCATTGTGACACAATTATTTGGAACTTGTTAACGAAGCAGGTACCCACCTCTCCATAGCTCTATCCTTGAGATTGTACTTCAAGGAATTTGAGATAGGAGCCCTGGATCCTCATTTTTTAAATGTCTTTCTAGAAATACATTTCATATAAAATGCATGGTATGGGTACATAACTTAAATACTTGATTGTTTCACTTTTCTTTTTCAGCAATGGGGCTGGAACCCGGGGCCTTTGCACTGAGCTATGTCCTTGGCATTTTTTTTTTTTTTGAGACAAAGTCTCACTAAGTTAGTAAATTGCCCAGGCTAGTTTTGAGCTTGTGATCTTCCTGCCTCAGTTTCCCAGACTGTTTCACTTTCTTTTCTTTTGTTCCAGATTTTCTTTTTTAGTACATGATGATTACATTCCTTGTGTGGAGTTCCTTCATATACATAACACATCTTAATTCCTGTTTTCTTTCCCTTTCCTTAACCTTTCCTTCCCTGACAACCCCCCCAACCCCACCCCCCCGCCCAGCTCTTGATCCTCTTCTTCTTTGGGAAAGATCTATCTTCCTACTTCCTATTATCTATCTTTTATTTTGCTTTTTATTTATACTTTGGTTTTCTAATGTAAGAGAAACCATGTGATATTTAAGCTTGCATATCTGATTTGTCATTTAACATTATAGCTTCAAGGTGCATGCATTTTCCTAAAAATTATTCAATTTATCCTTATGTCAGAGTAGTAAGTACTCCATTATGTGTGAATACCACATTTGCCTTTTTTTTTTGTATTCTTTTATTGGAACATTTTAGGTATACAACACAATTACATTTCTCATTGGGAATTGTACCTTTACATAATGCATCTTGGTTCTTATTTTTTCCCCATTCC